TACAATGGATTATATTTTAGACAAAATAATGCCTCATAACAAATAACCGAGATGACAGGGATTTATGGAAATAATTGAGGATAATTCTTGAGTCATTCCGATTAGAAAGTGTTGCGCTTTCATACTTGATAAAGTTTGGTGTTTTCATGTTGAGATTATTTAATCTTGGCAGCCAAGGTCAGGCACGTTTAATTGACAATCATGCAGCCTAGAAACTACGTAGATCGAAGTAGCAAGATATAAGTTACCGTCCATACCTAAAGCATTAATATAGGTGATAAACATAATTAAACTCATTTTGATACAGAATCGTGGTGGACTAAGGTTGCAATGAAATTGAGATTTATGAGCGCTACTGTTAGCGACACTCAGCAATATCGTACAGTGTCTCTTACCATCGATTATACAAATCCCGGAGTATCCACCCAGGAAACCTAATGCAACCTTGATGACCGAGTCTCCTGTTTATAGTTTGTGTACCCTCATACATGACCTTGTTATGACCACATGGAACTTTGGTAGTGAATAATTTGAAAAAAGGGATATTTGTGACTGATATATCGATCATGGAAAGTGAATCTTCTGAGAGAAACCGGTTTGGTTACGTCAAGTTCCAGCGCAAAATTGTAATCGGTGGATAGTTACTAGATAGATTTTGAGAATTTTTCAAGTAGTCCAACTGTGAAAATATCAGGAAACTCGATGGGGGTTCAAACCCGATACAACGTATGTTACACCAGCTGAGTTACAGAGACATCTATCGCTGTGAAACCCGTCATAGGACAAAAGAATAAACAATTCACCTTGTCAAAAAGCCCATTCCATGAAAGTCAGAATATAGGGAAAACCCGTTATCGCAATCAGTTTTATTGCTACCTGGTACGATTTTATGCCTTGGAGTTGGATCCCTCACTAACTGATCAGAGCGGCAGATGCAGCCGTCAAGTTCAGTTGATATCATGCCCTATATCAGAGAGCGGGTCGCAGTCATGTGTACTTTCGAATCCCAGTGAGGCCCCTCTTATTTTCACAGTTGATGATCGTGTAAACGGTTGATTCAAGAATTCGTCATTTAAATTTGACTGATTAAATCCACTGTTTAGTTTACCCTGGCTGTGTAAATGTCTGGGATGTAAATATAACTCCAATGACGAGCCATCTGTAAACCGACTGGAACAGAAGTGGTGAGGGTGATACCCAAGTTTTCCTAGTACCGGTGATATCTTTTTGATGGCAATCTGTAAAGGGATTTAATTGTGATGAACGCTTTAAGTAATGACCAAGCCCACCAAGAACGAAAAAGCTCTTGTTCGGATATCAGACACAACATTGATTGCATACAAAATGTATAGTACAACTAAAGACTGAAAGAACTCCGATGCAGTGAGACCAATACAGCAGCAGCATCATTTTTAATCTGATAACAGGTTATTGTCATCCACCGGTTACCTCTCAAAATGACGGCACCTTTAGCCATCTCCTGAATACGGGCAGTGATTAAGCTCTGGCAAGTAAACAAAACCACTCAAGCTGAATGAACTCATTCAATCAAAGGGACGGTATCCTCAATCACCAACACATAACTACAAACACACACACACAACTTACTTTTGTGTGGTTTGGTGTGCTAGTCTGTTGTGGAGCGCAATCGATGACAGCTAATTCTTCTGAAGTGGGTTCAGTCAACCCGTTGCCTGATATCTCCTTTACCACGGAAGAAGTCGCATTTAAACGAGACGTCTGCACCAGACGTCCGTCAGGTGTGAACACAGCCGTAAACGTCGGTACGAGAGGAATGGAATCCAGATTGCTAATCAAATTGGGGGTAATTTGTCCGGACTCCTGAGTGTTAGAAGGGAAGAAATCGAATTGGTCACGAAAAAGCACCGAACGCAGACTTTATTCAGTTTATTAAAATCACACAGTGCTCAGCTAGATAGACTGTTCAAGAAAATCCTAAAAAGTACCAAGCATGCGGGAGTCGACATGACAAGTTAGCAATATGATCACCTAAAGGCTGCGAGGTGTTTCTAGACCGGCAAGAATTTCCATTTGGTTGCTGGTCGTGTCTGAAAACCAGAAACACCTGGGGAGGCGTATATGGTCGATGTGCATAACCAAGAGAAAATAAAAAGGTGACACATTTGCAATCAAGCTCTCCTACGAAATGAGACGGGACAAACAAGGCGTTTCCGATCCCGCCGCGCCTAAGTGATAGCCCGACCGCAAAAATTCCCTGCTTGATGGGATGCGTTCGTCGCCAAATACCGACAGTATCTCACTGCCTTTACAACCACCAGCTTCAAAATACCACATAAACAATGATGTAATACGGCGAGTACGCTTCAGTTGAACTCCGGTTTGGGATGTATTTGGTTCTCGGAATGGTTTGCCAAATCAGCTCAGCAGGAATTATTGTCTCGTTCGTGTAACCACTGGAACGCCGTTAAATAGCACGGCTATAAACGTATGAACAGAACCAGATGAGTCTGACTTGGTTCATCACAGTTTTCACGGTCAGGGAAAATATATTAGGTAAAGGGAATCTCAATGAGTATTCGAGTGGTTCATAGACCCGGAGTTAGGACTACCGGAATTCCATAGATCCTTGTGAGCGTAATTACGTACAATCGAAAATATGCTCTCAATATATATATATATATATATATATATATATAGCGCTCACTCTTCAAAGCCTTGTTTTGGTTAACGTCTGTTTACCCAGGCTGATAATTAGCACACTCAATCGAACTAAACGAACGAATTCATTTGTGCTTGGCGTAGCTATAACCGACGAAATAGACGTCGAGTGTCTATGTAGTTGGATCTTTGAGAACGTGAGGTTTGACTACCAGTCATCTGCAGCATCGAAAGAGAGCATAAGGCAGTTTACCTCAGCTTCCGTGAATCACATCACATTCATGTTCACTAGACATAGTGGGGATAAACGTATGGTAATTTCTGTGGCGCAGTTTCGCTCGTTGTCATGATGGAAACACTTGAGGTGCACAGTAAATAACCGCTGAGGTGGTTAATTGATCACAATCCATTCGTTTAAGGATTCCTGAACTTCACTCCGTGAGTGTTTTCATGACTTATCAGTACCACATATTTACTAAGAGAATAGACAGCAAAATTTTGGGTTCGATCCGTGCGAATGAGAAGTAGAACACACCAATTAGCTGAGGGCAAAATCCTGTGATTGAAACGAAGCAGTAACTTATTCGAAATGGGACTGAAATACAACCACGTCGGATGGAAATGACTCACATTAAACGATGGTGACATAGTGAGCGATCTGGTTAGCCAATTCGGACGTCCTTCAGACGGGGTCGGAGGTTGTTTAGGTCGCGGAGGCGGGATTGGTCGACTGGTATTGTTCGACACGGCTCGTCTATGCATCGCGGAAAAACTGACCGGTCTGGTTGCACTGGGTGCTCCGGTACGTCCCGATGAATCTCGCTTCGAATGATAAGGATAAACAACAGTTGTAAATTTAGTATTTAACTGGTGTTGATGTTTTGTCGTCATCTTTGATCAGTGATAAGAGCGCTGAACACGGTGAAATTCGAGGCAAAACGTTGAGCACATGTTTATTTAGGACAACAAAGGTTAAAGTTTGATCAACACCAGAGATTTCCAGTCTAACATTTTATTTATGTCGATTGCACTCTCTAGTAAGAGCAGCCACCTTCCCCGATCGAGTTGGGTCGAACTAAGAAGAATGGTCCTTCGGATCGGTTGTAGTAGTTGCAAACATTAGTGATAGTGACAAGAGTGGAGTCTTGTGTTTGAGGATCGCACGAATGTGACTGTGATAGTCTCCATATCTTGGTGAGTCCACAGTGATATTTAGCTTCTCATGATTGCAAAACTTGCCGATTCGAAAAATGCGGATTTGATCAAAGTAGGACGCAAGCTCTGTTCGGTAGTCTGAGCAAAACCTCAGCAATGATTGACAAGTATTCCAAACAATGAAACAGTGAAACACGTTATTGGGTTTGGTCAAGATCCCAGTGTGATCTCAAAAATAAAACGATGACTGGAAAAGATCAGATTCGTAAGTGAGACAGCGGAATTTCGTCCTACGGAATGTGTTTCAAAATCAGTTGTCTCGCTAAACAGAAAGACTATGGTATTAATTATTATTATACAGCTGAACAATTGCATGGAGCCTCCAAAAGCCTCAGTATGGTTGGAGTGGGTGTCTAGGGTTGCGGCTGCTCACCCATCCCTTGCATCTCGCGAAATGCTCCCGTAAGACCAAGCGTCTCAAATAGCCTCTGCTGAGGAAGCCCTTCTAACTACCTTCTCGTGGTGGAGGCGTTTTCCCACCAAAGTGAGAGGACGAAAAGCCGATATTCGGGGCTATAACCGAGTTGGTGGACCACTGGTAGTTCACCTAAAGGAGTTGGCCAAAAACCCTGATTCCAAACCAACCAAGAGGACACATACGAAACACGCACACCCACACCNGGTCACCGGCTTGATTGGGCCTCGAGGTATACTGGGCACCATGGACTTTGGCCTCGTCCAAAGGATGTATGATCCGATGAACTGGACACCGGCCCCCAATGAATTGCGGTTTTCACACCCCGCCCCGCTGCCTTGCGGGTTAGGCTTTGGCAAGCCGAAGGCTCCGGCTGTGGATTGCTCAATAAAATTCACCTGCCTTGGCCTGGGCAACCTGGCAGTACTCAGCCCATAAGCAAATCATGGAACGNNNNATCGGTTTGACCTGATGATCCCGAGGCAAGGTGGTCGTTTGAATAGTGTTATTTTAATGTGTTTGCACAGTGAGGTAGATTCAAAAATCATTCCACCCACCCCGTAGCTGAATACTAAAGCAGTGACTGAGACACGATGTATCACGCATGAGCTCAGATAAAATTCCGCAAAGCGCAACACTTGCTGAGAAGGGTATTCACCGGCCAAGGAAGTTTCGGAAACGTCTAGGAGTTAAAAACGGTGAACCGAGTCAGGATGGCGGTTAGGGGTACCGACAGAGAAAAACCAGAGGTCGCGAGTTCAGACCCCAACACCAACACCCAACTTGTCCGATGTGAGACCCCAAGTAACGCCTGATTGATTACAACTCTTGCTCTGTCTGAAAGTCGATTGTATTGTATTGTATTCAATAAAAAGAAGTAAGACGATTATTAGTGCTAGCTGAAGAGGAACGTCAAACTTTCTTTATTGGTTTATATGACGGATGGCAATCCATTGATTAGCGGCTTACTCCTTCCTGAAAATTGTCTGCAGCTATATTGACAGGAAGTGAAGGAAAAAACCCGTGCAGAAGGCCAGTGAAACCATAAATCCGACTAGATAACAGTTACACAGGTCAAGTCGATCACCAGTGAACTACTCAGAGATCCCACCACGGTGAAATTCCTTCGACGATAGACAGCTCCCTGTGACGCTTGGCGTACTATCTCGGTTGTGTAATTGGTCATTCTAAATCACAATTATTATTACTGATTATGGAAACCACACTGTAGATCCGCTGAACGAGCTTGATTACGTAAGTTGTCGTGTACAATAAGGCGTATTATTTCGACGGAAGGAAACTGTGGGAAGTGAGGTACTACTCACCTGAGAGCCAGTGAGAGCAGATCGAACACGACGGATTGTGGGAACCATGGGAGACTCGTTCAGACGAGACATCACTGCTCGAGATACCCAATGCGAGCGCGTCGGTGTTGCTTCAGCCAGTCCAGGGGACATCGCAGAAGCACGCAGTCCCGGATCGTTTCTGCTCCCGGGATCAAATGCGGTACTGGAGTGCTGCCCGCTGTAATGAAATGGGATTCGAAAGAGTATGGGGGGCTTGTAGTAATTGTTCAATCGGTAAAAAAGGCGTTTGCGTTAAATTAGCAACGTAATATCATAAAACAATTGTTTGTGGAACAGTGCAATACCATATCACATTAGTCTAACATCATACTTGTGTGTCGATACCTGTGAGTGGACAGCGATTATTCCGAACTATACTTCCCAATGGAATGTTCTTAGATGTCGCATATCACCATTTGAACTTACGTGACCTTGGGTGTCGAGACAAAAATTTGTAGCAGTTCGAAAGTTACAGCTCAAAACACATTTTACGCATAGTAGCATGGAAGTTCACTCTTTCTAATAAATGATTGCTGTTTCACGAGGGTTTTTATTGTGGTCAATACAAGTATTCTGAATGGCGGATCTTTTTTCATTTGGTGCGTAGTAAACAAACCGATTGACGAAGACTTTCTAGACTAAGTAAACTGAAAAATTGTGGCTACAAACTACTCACGTTAAATATCTCATCCCAAAGGGATTCAAAAGATATGACAAGAAACAGAAAAATTGACCTTCAAAAGTTGATCTCGCGGTGTGCGGTTCGTTGAAAAATCGTTTTGTAGTTTCACTACGCCAAAACTGAACGAAACATCTAAGGGATTTTGGCACATAGTTGGAGTCAAGAACAACTTATTCGAGGTGTATAAATCTGACGACCAACTTCCTGGTTTATGCAAGTGCTTCGACGTGAGCACAAGTTCAATTTATTGCATAATCAACGGAATTCGATCGCGGCTGATAAAAGTTGCACACAGCCATTATGGAGGATAGTCCGAGCTGATTAGCCGTAATTTTCTCGTACCAATGTTTGGAAATTAATGGCTCAATTTGAACTATAGCCGGCGTTACCTGATATGAAGCCGTTATTGAACACCTAGTTGAGTCAACCACGTAATGATTTAACCTATAAATTCAAATCGCGTCGCTCGTCCATTTGGCATTAGGTTGATTTCATTATTGGTTACTGAGTAATACAAAGCTGATCTATCGACCTAGTTTTCGAGTGAATTTCATTTCACCTGTCAAAAGAAGAAAATATCCTTCCCGCCTAACGAGTTGGAAGAGAAGTAAACACTGAGTGCCTAAATGTTGGTTTCCCGTATCAACCACACAGGATAGCGCGAAATTTTGGCACTGATGAGACAGGTTTTCGAAAACAGTCACCCTTGAAATGCATCCGCAGAAGTCATATTCTTCCAAGATAAAGGTTAGCATAGCATCAACTGCCAAGCTGGTTGTAGAAAACCCTTAGACCTTATTAAATAATTTTGTTACATTCATGCAGTTTCTGGAGGGGTCAAGTTCAATGTCGGATTGATTCGATTCCCGCCCAGAAGTTTGGTTTTTAATGCAATCGAAAAATTTTGCTGCGTTGGAAACAACAATAAGTTAGCTACATTGACAGGAGGTGGTTAGTGGCAAACGCTGTTTGACAGTCAAATTGGTGGATTCCATGCAAAAACCGCAGGATCCAATGCTTAAACATAAAGAAGGGCAGATAGAACATTGACTAAATGAGCTATTATCATAAATAAATTCTAATGATGTTTTTTTTTACTGAGGTTTTGTTTGTTTACAACAGATGCACCAGCAAGCGTCGTGGAAATCGAGAACTCATACATTTTAATCGCATTCGACTAACAGCGGCAAACACATAAGTGGATATTAGTATGGCTGTGTTGCGTCAGACATGGGGCAATATCATATTCAGTCCCTTTAATGAGGCTCGGAACACCAAGTGTTGGGAGAGACGGGAGTCAGGATGTTGCATGAGTTTGCACACAATTTGCACGGTGCACTTACCTGAGGTTATCGCGACGGAGCCAGGGTTCATTTGGGGAATCTTCGGAAGGCAGAGTGTCAGGATTCTCCGGTCTCCGATGGCTACACGCATCCCCATCCGGGGATCGTGTGTTAGTCACCGGTGAACTGAGAGAAGAACGATCCCGCTGAAATGGAATAGTCAACTAGCAAGGGAGCCTCACGGACCGAACTTTAGAGGAGACAAGATTATCACGGACAGCGCATGACTCGTAAATATTCTATGTAAGTGGTAGAACTTCACAAACCATGAAATTGGCATGGAATCGAAAGATTGGGTCTACCACCAATAAAATGCATGTTCCGTAGACGTCAGCCAACCACTCACCACATTAAATTCATATATTGTGAACCAGTTCCCCTATTAATGATCACCACCGACCGTAGGTCAATTAGTTAACAGCTCCGAAAACAAACGCAAGTTGATCTATCAGTACGTAACTTACTGATGCGAACATAAAATCGGGAGACAAGAAACCGTAGAGATATTTGCAGCATATTCGCGGTAATTCACGTTACATTGACACCACACGTCGCGGCCTGGTTTGGATAAGAGTGGTCGCGTTGCAAAAGAGGAAGAGATCGCCAAATCAATATTTCCTGTGAAGTTTCAGGGATGATGGCCATAAAATTCAAATCCGCAGCATTATTTAACTTTTACTGGTTCTTCTCGGGTTTTGGATTAGCCCCTAGACTGCGAGGAAGAGGGAAATAGGACACGATTTGCAAATGTCGTTCTCATCGAGGACGAGACCGCAAGGCAAGTGAAGACAGTTACTTCCTAGTGGGGAGGGGAGATCTATTGCCGAATCCAATGACCATAAAGAAAATCGGTCAAGCTAGCGAGAACACATGAATCCCTTGGCTGAAACCAAATGAATACGAAGGAGTTCCTAGTGATAACCTAACAGCCATGCGCCAACACACTGCTGGTTTGCAGTTCGCACTTGGCCACGCAAAAGCTAGAGATATGCATTCGGAATAAAAAGTATGGTGACGCTGGGCACTTTTTTGTTCAGAAATCAGAAAAACCTTCGAGATCACCCATGAATCCGACTCGTTTTCTCCAAGACGCTAGTTGTAGAAGTGGAGGGATTGTAGAGATATAGTTGCTCCACAATCCGGGAAAGGGGGAATATGAGCAATATTGTGGTTGACAATTACAGTGTACCAATGAAAGATGGACGGCCCCGAGAAAATGCGACCTAGTAGGAGGTAGTAACGGGTGCGTCACAGCCGCCGGTGCAATACCTTGACTCTCTGAGTTAGGAAACCAATAAACCGATAACGGCAGTTTAGTTTGGTGTTTTTCAAACAGCCTGTCTGGCCCTATCGTGTTTCCATTATCTTGTTCAACATACCGCAGAGAGTGAATATAAGCCATTGGACAAGCAGACTCTTCGCATCGTATTTAGTTATCAGGGTCGAGAAAGAAAAATCGCGTTAGCGCAATTATGTAGACTTACACGGAGTCGACGCCGACGTTGAAAGGGACGAGTTGCTTCCGGCGAATCAGATTCCACTGTTCGCGGAATAAGACATTGCAGCCAGTGTCGAACTGAAACAAACAATAGAAAGTTCGACCGATTGTGCGTGTGTGAAACGGAATTGCATAACAACAAAATGCGATCGGACACGGAAAGATAGAGTGTTTAAGTTAACTGACACAACGGTGTTCTCTTGAGAACCATCAAACATGGTAACGGAGTAGGATTTCCTGTCTCGGAATTGCAGTCCAGATATCATCACTTAAAATGTGGTGAACGTTGAGGGAAAAAGAACAGAAAACACACCGCGGAACGAGTGCTCGATCAATCTGGATTCCTAAACAATGTGAAGGCGCAAACCTGAACCACCCCGAACCAAAGTCAACGTCTTCAATCGGACACTCTAACGAGGGTTAGTTGTGCAAAGGTCAGCGGTACATCCCCGCAGCAAAACGACGAGTGACCCGAAAATCGCTAGGCTTCATGAAGTATGTAATTGCCCATGAAGCAGACCTCTTCTCGCGTAACAGTAAGTCGCCTGTTGAATTGAAACTAAATTACTCGGTTTGCCTTAATATCTGGGTGCTTTTATTGACTGCTACCTATGACTGGTGGACTGTGACCGAATATATATATATATATATATATATATATATATATATATATATATATATATATATAATATATTAACACCAATATATATATATATATATATATATATATATATATATATATATATATATATATATATATTTGACCGCTCAACAACAGCATGTAACGTCTGCGCTTGCTCACTGAATCGGGTTGCTGACTGCATGCCCATTGACGCTTTCGCATGCCGACGAGCATAGAGACCGGCTACTAGTGTACGCTACGAAAAAACGGGTAACAAAATTCATTATGTGATCATTCATTTACTTAACCGAACACAACACTTTAGTCAACTTGTTTGTTACACAGGTGATCGGGAATTATAATCGAACAAAATCAATCGATTAAAGTTTAAGCACGTATAAATAGCCTCATACGTGTGTGAAATACAATGAATAGGAGGACAGCTGTCGGTACTTACTCCGCGCATATTGTGGCCTTGTTGCAGAGCGATTTCGAACTTCCGGGGACGTGAGCACCGAACTAGAAGGTTCTGGGATGGAAACAGGTGCAGGAATCACGGGTCTGGGTGGTAAAACAATCACTGCGGTTTCGATCTCCTCAGCCGCCGCTCGGCCACGTCCTGGTCCCAGTCTGACAAAAGGAATAGTGATGAAGCAAAAGCGAATCGAAGAAATCGTGAGGGATGAACGACTGAATTAAACCGATCTTTTTATATATAATGAGGACAAATGAACACGTGACAGCAGTTCAACTCAATCCGACTAGACCCTGACCTCGGCGAGTGCATTTTTCATTGCAAAATTAGAGATAATTCGAAGTCACTCAATGGTTAAAGGTAAAACAATGCACGGTACAATAAGTGAACGTCAGGTTAACAAAACGTTACCGTGATGAGAAGACAAGCGAGGTATAACATCTGAGATAAGAAT